AGCACCTGGCCACAGTGGAGAGGAAAAACTCCCCTTTAACAGGAAGTTCCCTTCATTCTAACCAGGGTCAGGGTTGGCTGGTTGGGGCTGAGGGCGGAGCTTAGGTAGAGCTGTGAGCTCCAGAAACTTGCACATCAGTTATAGTGTCAGCTGTTCGCCTCCTGATCCATATACTCGATACTTTGAGTCTTTATATTGAAGACTTTGTGTGCTTGTTTCCACCAGGAGAACATCATCCGAGAGTTCAACCTGAACGAACTCTACCAGCAATCCAAGAAGCTCACCAAGACCAGAGGAGACAAGGTCAGCCAATCCCAGTTCCCCCCAGTGCCCGAGGAGGAGGAGCCAGAGCAGCAGGGCGTTGAAGCCCAGGGGGTGGAGTCTGAATCCAAGAAGGACAAATAGGACCATTTGTATTACTCACACTGGACTTGTTAATGGAATCTGTGGGTCCACTGTGGGTCAGCTAGCTCCTCCCCCACCTTTGTCTTCATGCTCCTCTTCAGAGTTCTGTTTGTTTACTTGTGAATCAGGCCCCGCCCCTTTCCCTGAATCTCCCTAACATGTAATTTAGCAGAGTATCAAAGCAAACTGCAGTAAAGCATCCCCGTTCCCTTTGTGTGAGGAGAACCTGAGGCCACTCTTTGGTGGAGGAGCTCGGCTGGTGGGGGCTGATGATGGAGGCGTCGACACGGGAGCAGAACGTGTTTCAGTTTTATGTACTAATGACTTATTTTAATCTTTAATAATTTAAATGCAGTTAGTTACTGATGTGGAGCATTTAGCAGCTTCGTCGCACATTCCACCAGCTTCTGTTGTTTCCTTCTTTGAGTGTTTTTACCTGCTGACCATGACTGTGTGCAGCTCCCAGCTGTTTCTTTCTTTGGACACGTTACAGGCCCTGACCGGCAGCACTTAGCAGTCAGGTTGATTTACAGTAGCGGTGATTCAGTGATCCTGCGCTTCCCCCCAGTTTCATCTGGTCTCCAGTCTGCTGTGTGTGACCAGTGTTCTGCAGTTGCCTTTAACAGCTGGTGTAAAACGTCACAGTTCAGGTGTAACTCCCCACCTGACGAGCCCACCTTTGTTTTTAGTTTGACTTCGTAAAACTCTGAATGCAAAGGACTTTTTTCTTAAACTTGACTAAATGCATGTGTAAGTTTACATTTTAATCTAATAGACTAAATATAAATCCAATAATTGCTGACTTGGGATCAGTGAAGTAGTCCCAGGCTTCTCGGCTGTGCTTGGTTCCCGTTTGTGCAGAAACCTGAAAATGAGGCGTTGATATTGAACTGCAGTAACCCCCTAGGAACCATGCAGCAGTGTGGCAGCACTGTTTGCTGCTCCAACACCAGGCCACGGGGCGGTGCACACGAACAGCTCACTGCTGACCTGAGCAGCTGCTGTAGACTAGAAGTAGCTGACGATTGAACCACTGCAAAGGAAGTAGCAGTGAGTTTGGGGTTCGTTCAACAGGAGTTTCTTTCTTCCTCCTTCATCGTGGTATTTGTGTGTAGCTGCCATTGAATGTAGGTTTATAAACCCTGCTGTGTTTTATCCACCCATCATTTCATTTTACTTTCAAACAGAGAAGGCTTCGGTTTCTGCCTTAACGTGTAATTGATGACTTAAACATTCTGATAAACGATAAAGAGCCATGTGATAAATCTGTGGAGACCCTTAAATACATTTTCTTTTCTAAAAAAAGTATATCTAATAATAACAATCCAATAATTGGGATGCTCCATGGAGGGGGAGTCACTGTTTGGTCAGTCTCATCCATGAGGAAACTGTGGATTATATACTTGTCCACAAACTTCATATCTACGGGTCCCAGCCGGGGTGTTGAGCCCCGGGTTGAGAAACTGCACACAGTGACTAAGGCTACGTTCACACTGCAGGCGAAAGCGCATCAAATCTGATTTTTTTGACCATCTGCGACCCATCTATCCAATCATGGTGTGACAGTGTGAACGGCACAAATCCGATATTTTCAAATCCGATCTGGGTCATTTTCCTATGTGGTGCTGAATCCGATACATATCTGATGTTTTAGAAAGCTGCTGTTTGATGGTCAAATCACATTAAATCCGTCTTTTACGTCACTGACACAAGACAGACGCCAATTATCAGCGCCGGAGAAGACATCGC